TCAAGTGGTAGAGCGCTAGTCTTGAGCTGAAGAGCTGAGGGACAGTGCCCAAGCCCAGAGTTCAGGCCCCATGACCGGACCCAAAAAAAAAAAAAAGAAAGAAACCAGGGAGCAGGTGACTCACCAAGCTTGCATTTTAAAATAAGGAGGATGACAATTGTGTGGAGGACATTTTTTTTTTCTTTTGTGACAGTACTAGTGCTAGAACTTAAGGCCTGGGCACTATCCTTTAGTTTTGGTGTTTTGTTTTTGTTTTTCCTCAAGCCTGGTGCTCTACCACTTGAACCATACTTACACTTCCAGCCTTTTGGTAATTGAAGGTAAGAGTCTCATGGGCTTTCCTGCTCTGGCTTAGCTTCAACTTCAATCCTCAGGTCTCAGTCTCCTGAGTAGCTGGGATTGCAGGTGTGAGTCACCAGTATAGTGTTATGTTTTAAATGGAAGAGATTGACTATTTTAGTCAATGTGCTTTCTTGTTTTCACTTTCTTTGGTGTTAGATGGATGTCACTAACTTCTCCCCACGCTCAAGTCAAGTCTATTTCTGGGTCCTTAGGGCCTGGTTGAAGGACAGATACAAGTGAAACAACATCTAAAGAAAAAGCCTCCCAGCACCCCTTGGCAAATGCAGCAACCCTCTTCTTTTTAAAAACAGCAGTGCCCTCTGGAGGCACAAATGCATCTTGTTCTTAAATTTTAGAATTGTGCTGGCCTTATTCCTTAAGACATATGAATAATGGTGTTCCGGTGTTCTTTTGTTTCTATTGGAAAGAAATTATACATCACTTCAGAGACTTAAACACAGCAACAAATGTGAGCCACTGTATCTTTAAGCATTTTAATTATCATTCGTTTAACAACTCACAGTCTTTAATTCTTAGGTTGAGTATATTTTTCCCAAGTTTCTAAATTTTGCCCCGATATGCCCTGTCTAATTAGGTAAAAGTTGTTGATCATAAACGCAGAAATATGTACCTGATACAGGCACAATTAGTGTTTCCTCTTTCTTAAGACACTGTTCTGGGCTCTCCGCTCCCTCTAAGGCTGTTGCATGAATGCTGTGCTCAATTGGATCACTTTATTGTCATGTTCATCTGTGTATGTGTATGCATGAGGGGGTGTGTGCATGCACATGTGTGTGTGTGTGTGTGTGTGTGTGTGTGTGTGTGTGTGTGTGTTTATCTGTACTAGGGCTTCAACTAAGTGCCTGGATACTGTCCCTTAGCTTCTTCATTCAAGGCTGATGCTCTACCACT